ATAAAATATATTGCATTAGTACAGTAAACAATACATTAAAATAGAATTTAGCTCTCTTTTATTTCTTAATATTGTTTAGTACCATCTAATTCACCATATCAAACGTACCAATATAGTTTAGTATATTGGGAGAAACAAGAAAATTAAATAGCTACACTATTGGTAATTATTAAACTCACATTACCTACAAGATCAAAGAGCATGCCAGCACAAATTTCACAATTGAAAAGCATTAATTCCATTGGGTTATTACAAGAGTTATGAGATGAAGTATAAAACTTAAACTCCATACAGCATCTTAATAGTTTCAAATGCCAACACACCTTACCGATATTTGGCCTCAGGTACATAAGCCTAAAGGAGAATGACACAACTAGTATTTGCCATGGATCCTGTTAGTTTTTAACGAATTTTTTAAATATTCATCTCCATTTAAAGAAATGCACAATCATGTGATATTTCCACTCAATTGGCAAATAACAGAGAGTTTTTAATCAAAGTGAATTGAGTAAAAAATGCATAAAAGAAACACGAAAATCAAAATGGGAGAGAGAGAATTGCATTTGAGATAACTTTAAAATTGGCTGATGGTATAATTGCAAACTAATCAACACCACCCAAAAGGAGAGATGCATTTGGACTTCCTCTTGAGATAATTTAGCACTTTACCAGAAACAAAAATAAAAATATCTCTACATGTATAGAACAAAGAGCTCTATCAGTTTTGTATTTCTGTTCTTACTAAAAGCCTACTGATGAATGGTGATACCGCAGCAAGCAATGCTTTGGGACATTCCTCGTGCGGAAGATGGCCACAACCAGATATTGCTACAAGTCTCTGCACCACAGCGAATTAATAGATGAATCAGAAAATTTATTTTTGTTTTCAACTTTCCACAATTAAAATTTTTTATGTTTACAGAATTTCCATTCATAAATCAAACTACCGAGAGTTAATATATGCTACCAAAATTTATGTGAACACAAATCATGAGCAGGTTTCAGTTTCACTATTAGCACACTTTAGACCACCAAGATGTTATTTGCTTCAAAGCAATGTTGGGATTTCTAAATATATAAAAAATTAATCTCAAGCACTTGGATAAATTCATGACAAGCCTTGATATTCTTGGTTTAAAATGGTGTTCCGTAACACATCATAGTTTACCTTATAATAAAATTTTAAAACAAAATCCAAAACATCATGACATTAAAGAGAGTAAAAAGCTAGGGTGACATGGGGACTTACAGAATCTACAAGTTTAGAAGCCATAATTTGAACAGATTTTAGAGGGACAATGACATCTTCAGCCCCGGCAACAACCAAAACTGGCAATGCTTCAACAGCTTTCAGCAAGGAAGCTGCATTAGGTGGTGGGATTACAGTCTCACATGAAAGTTTCCCTATTTCATGAAGTGCTTCATCCCAACCTTCTACATGTAACGGGGCCTGGCGTACACCAGAGCAGAAAAATATCAAATTATTGAACAAAGGGATTATCTAGAAAAAATTTGCCAAACAAAAACAAGGCATGGAAAACCAACAAAGATGAATGTTTATCCTACTGAAGTTCGTCTATATCTTATGCCTAATTGCTATAATGTTATCCATAAAAGCTTCCATGAACTTTCAAATTTTTATAGTTCAAATATGCCAGTAGAAGAACATTTCAAGATGATCAATACTTCATATTTTTATATAAAATTCATTTCACATAAACAGTTTAACTATTTTTTATATTCACTGATTTTCAAATATCATTTTTACAATGCTTATAAAGCATTCAAAATAACGTGCAACGCACGTTTCAAAGTGACTAGTATTGATAAAAAACAAAAAAAATGTATCGAAGTGACATTGGCTAATTATTATGAGCAGCCAAATATTTGGGAGCCAAGGGACTTAATTTTTGTGAAAATCGGAGGAACCATGATTATTTACAGATAGATCAATGCACAATGGCAGATGATTGTAAGGCCGGAGGGAACCATCATCCCACTGTTTTATTATTCACTCTTTATTTTCTTGTAAATTCAACGTGTTTTAGATAACCTATAAAGTTTTGCCATCCCTCAAAAGAACTCAAACTACCATAAATCTCCTTAATTATGCATCCCTGTCCCACGCCGTGATTCTATTCTAAATTCTAATATCCCAAATACGGAGAAAATAGAACATTTCATGAAGCAGTTGAACAAATTGGAAGGATAAATTTCACAAAATGTATACATGTGTCAAAAAATTAATAATTGCAAATCGTAAACTGCAATTGTAAGAAGACAGGAAATGTAATCTTGGTATCAATTGTAGGCAAAAATACCTTGTAGAGGCTTAAGACTTCAGTTGTTAGTTTGGTTGCATCATACCATGCACGCCGATTAACAACTTGAGTAATTTCTGTCCGAAGTAAAGGACGGACAAGTTGCTTCTTTCCAAGTGAAGTGCGTAATAGAATTCTTGCAAATGCAGGAACCAGTTCCCTTGACAAGCTTACGCTCAGCAATACAACTCCCTTTATTTCAATCTGGATGACATGCCATTAGAATTAGGACATAATTATGGATGTCAGCAACAAACTTCCAAATTCCAAAACTATATTGGACCCAAACACATGCATATCTATATTATCAGCAAAAAAATTATACTACATTAACTCTAGTAGTTCAATTCAATCCCATGAAGCACATAAATGAACTTGCACTAGCTATAATTCCCCTACATACATTTCAAGGAGTTCCATAAACACAATTGTCGATTATTATCATGATGTTCATATATAAAGCACTATATTTAAGGGTACATCAGAGTTCAGACTCTCTCTCTCTCAAATGGTGCAACCTAGCACATTCAGATTTAAGTGCCTCTCTATTCTCTAACACTTGACTTTACTTCACCAAGAGCTTTCGGGCTGCTGTTTATGTTTTCATTAAGAATTTAAAGTTCAAAACAATTACAAGCAGGACCCCTAAATAATATGTTTAATAAATTATTCAATCATTCTCTGAAAAATATAAAGGTATCACACGGTTCTATTGCATAAGCAGAGCCTAAGGAATATCATTTCTCTTTCTTGAAAAATAATTTAGATTCGAGTAAATCAGGATTTTGAAGTTAAAATTTCAGTATGTGCAGTGCCCCACATTCACCTATACCATGCTAGGGTATTTGCTTTAAGTAACTGACATACACTAAAAGTAGCTCACACTCTTGGAATTTGCTGAAGATTGGATTTTTTGCACAGCCTTAAGTGCAAGCAGTCCTCCATCATCATGGCCAATTAGAACAACTGAAGAAAATCCCATCTCCAAACAAAAAGAAAGAAGCAGATCAACCTGAAAATAACAAACTCAATCACATGTTCAGGAGAAGCCCCAAAACAGAAGATTAAAAACAAACGGAGATGGCATTTGAAAGCGGAACACGTGCATTATGTTTCTTACGGGCACAGCTACACAGATGCAAGGACCCTTGGACTTCTGCAGTGACCTAGTCTGTTGAGTCAAATATGTCTACATTGATGGAATGATCTATATGTGTGCAAAAAAATAATGACATGAATGAAGATGCAGTGACTAGGGATGATTTCAAGCAAATACTTGTCAAGTTTGATTGTCCTTAGAAGTTTACTTTCTTTACAAGTTAAGACTTAATTTCGAGTAAATTAAGTTTTTTCATTAAGCCCTTTTTGAGCACCATTTTGGGGAAAAAATGCATTTTAGAATAGTAATTTTGGGAGAATGTGTGGTTAAAAAAGGAAAGGTCTTTCAATTTACGTGTAAAATTATTTTATTGAAGAATGCGTAGTTAAAAATGAGTTTTGAAAAAATGAATTTTTGAAAAAATGGGGCTCAAACAAGCCCTTAAGATATAGCTTTGAAAATCACATTTGGCAATTAACTTGAATGTAAGTTTGACACTTTGACTTACTTTTGAGCACACCCAAACGTGCTCTTATTATAAGAATCATTAAAAATGAAATATTGCAGCTTCGATCACAAGTCAATGTCTTACTTGAAGAGTTAGCTACAAACTGATAGAAAAGCACTGACGTCGAGAATTACAATTTTAACCAATCACGGAGTTCAAAATCACGGTAAACCAACAGAGATGAAACATGAAAAGTCCTTGTTTCAATTTTTGCAATCATTTTTTTGTTCACGCAAATTCTGAACACTTCCTTAAAATATAAAAGAGAGACTCGTGTATTAACATGTGTGAAACTCTGAATACAACTATTCCCATCTTTACCTGTCCCAAAGCTTCATAATCTACTATAAATCGCTGTATTTAATGCATCACAACAGTTACAATACTACAATGTACATTTTGGAGAAAGTAATCACCTGATTATCAAGCTTGTAAGGATTAGGCAATTGATTTTCCTCCCAATCCCTACGGCGTGGCCTGGACGTCAAACCCCAACCGGGCCTGTCAAAAGCAACAACTGCACAGCCTACCTGCCTAGCTAGAATGCTCATCAAATTTCTCCACGAAAAGACTCCCCCTCCAAAACCATGCACTAACACAATTCCAAAGTGTCCATTTGCTTCTAGATCCTGTTCCAACATTGGAGATCTCATATTGCTCATGTCATCGCCCTCGCCGGTTTCATCAGGGCTCGAAATTGGCATGTCTTTAGACAATGGGGATGTTGGAGAACCATCTAACAGAGGAGTATGGAGAGAGGTACTGACATGAAATTGACTACTGATGCTCCTGTGGATAGTGCATCGGGTTTTCAACGAAATGCTTGTTGCAGGTGCAGCCAGAAAGGAAGTGGAGGATAAGGAACAGGAAGGCGATCCAGGTATGCTTAGCTTGTAGTGAACCATTAGTCCTTTACAAGAAATGAATAAGCTGTCCTTTTCAGCAAGTAAACTAACTGGAAGTTCTCCATCATCACGAGCAACACCTAATCCTTTTCTCCTCATTTCACTATTACTTCTGAAAGTTTTCCCAGCAGATGGAGTAGGCGATCGCGGAACCTTATGGTAGCCAGAGAAGACCATCTTGCAAGAAAGAGCCTGCAGGTAAAGAGATCGGTCAAAACCTAGAACTATATGAAATCTCATTGTCAAAGCATATAAAAAACTTCATCATATAATAAAGTTCTAGAAACAAAAGAAATTGTAAACAATTCTTCGAAGTAAAATAATTCACCAACCCAAAGCTACAATTAGAGCAAAGTAGCAAACATCAGTGTACAACCACTAAAAGCACAGTTTATTCATTTAAACTGTATGATTATTTTAAAGAATTCAAGCCCATTTGTACTAATAATTAAATTAGCATTTCATTATACTATCATCCAAAAGAAATAATAAATTCTGTTAAGATCAAAGTATCTAAAATTACAGGTAAATGAATAAAAACTGATAAACTAAAGGGTTGAAAGTATCGTGAAATTACGGCTTCTGGGTCAACACGGTGCAACAAGAGCTTCCTCCTAGCTTTGCAGCTTGTACGATAGGCTACAACAATGTGACCCAGAGCAAAGACGACAGATGAGAGAAACAAGACGGGCATCCCCCAAGACTTCTTCAAATGGAGCCTCTGCCTCTGCCTTGAAAGATAAGTTGACGCTTCTGCCTCAAGTTGAGAATTGACAGCAAAAAGACAAGCCTTGAGAGAGAGAAGTAGTATTGAGATGATGGAGCAGAGTGTTACAGTTCCAAGGTACGGCCCCTGTGAGAGCATCATGACATCGCACATTGAATATACACCTGTTGTCATTCAAACAAACACATAAAAACCAAATCAATTTTCGATGATACAGGAAGGTCTTCATAATTAATTTTGTTCACCTGATAATCATCTTGCTAAACTTAACTAGAGTTTTATTCTTTTTCACTTTACATATCAAACCTCCATGAGAGTTTCCTTCACTTTCCTCATTTTGTTTCATAAAGATATTTCTTTTTGAGTTTCAAGATTAGAGTAAAAAAACTAACAAAAAATGAAAACATGTAATAAAATTATGAATTAATAAGAACTGAATTTCGAAAACTAAGAAAGTAAACTCTTGACTGCAAAAAAATCAAAATTTAGGAATCTGCAAATGCACTACTTTTGTCGCCGTACTCGTTCCTAGCAAAAACATAAGCCTACAAAAATGTAGATTTGAGGTTCAACAGTAATTTCTTTAAGAGCTTGTCCGTTTTCAGTATTTTCAGAATAATAAAATAAAATCGGAAGCACAATAGCAAAGTAAATGCATACGAAGGTAGACCAAAAAAAGAACAAAGTTTAAAAAAAGAGAGTACTTTTACATTGACGGTATATCCTTCAATAATCCAATATCGATGGACAAATTTAATCAAAAGAAGAGCAGAAAAATGCAAAAAAAATCATACAGGTAATAATAAGAGATCTGATTATGGAGACCAGAGGAACATCCATAAGCGAGCTCTTGAAAGCGTATCTCTGCAAATTCTCACTAAAACTGTAGCAATTAACGCATGTGAAGCTTGGAATCAGCAAGCACGGCACCACCACATCACCTATCGCCACCACTAACGGCAAAGACACAAGCAACAGCGATGCCACCATCGTCGCCATGAAATACAAAGTCCGCACCCCTCTCAATACCTTCTCCCACCACCAAGCCCCTTTCGCCATCATTAATCCGCAACAATTCGCTCAAATTTCAAATTTTCCTCGGATTTGAATTTTTCAAGTGGGGCCAGGGGAAATACAAGATCGCAGAAGAATCAAAACTCGAAATGGAAATGAAACCGCAGGAGACACAACGGCCATCTCCCGTGATAGATTTACGGCGCCGGCGATTTCATCCAAACTACGCCGTCAATCTTGATTTTAACCTTATCAATTTCTCTTCATCAATTCCTCCGTTTTCCAAAATTCAAAAACAACAAATTCATTTCTTCCTCATCTGGTTTTCAGTTTTATCTCTCTTTCTCTCTCTCTCTCTCTCTTCTGGTGAATTTCTCTGTGCCTGCGTGTGCGCGCGAGAGAGAAACAGAGTGTCAGTGCTTGTTTTGAAAATGAGTTACGCTACACAAACCGGGGCCATGATCGTTTAGATTATTCTTTGAAAATGGGTCTAGTTTTTTTTTCCAGTGCATGTATAGATACAATTTGGAAATGAGTTAATTAAACAATAGCCAGTCGGGTTTAATAAATATTTCAAATTGGTCCTCAAAGTATTTTTTGTTACATTTGTTCACTGAAGTTAAATAATGCCTGTTATCGAATCACTCTATTATCCTAATTAAAGCCACATACTGCATATGATCAAACCAGTTCGGGAACCCACGACTGAATGACTGTCTGGTCCAATTGCATTAGTTGGTCCGTTAAACAAAGGAACTGGTCAAGAATCTATTAGACCACTAAAAACTGTCCAAGTTGGACGGGTTAAGAGGAAAGTAAAATCGGTTTAATGTAAACCAGTTGGTTACAAAGTTCATAGCAAGATTTTATATTTAATTTGCGGTGACAGATTCTGACTTGGGCATTCGATATTGAATATGACAACCTTGATAATTATGGCACATGCATAACCTTTGTAATTAATGTGAGCGAAATATATCTTTAAATTTAATAAAATTATTCTCTGTCTTGAAATTATTTTTTAATTAAAAATTATGATTTATTACTGATCCACCGGTAGAACCACTAAATCGATAATTTGATGATTTTTTTTGGGGTCGATGATTGAGACGGGTTTAACTGTGCCCCTAACGTGAGCTAATGACGTTAAAACAATTAATTCCTTCTAATCGTCCTCCTATTTTAGCTCTTTTTTAATGATGGAAAAATAAGGATTAGGGTAAAATGAGTCATTTAGGATTTTTGGAGTAAAGCCACTAAAAGGTAACCAGTTATGAAATATTATTTAATGGATTACAAGATTACTTTAATGACTAAATTGAAGCTCTACTTGAACTTCAGTGACCATCTAATGTAAATACAATAGAATTTGGAAATGAAAAGGCGTTAGTTAATTAGAGTAATTAACTAATTAATTAATAGGACAATAGTTGATTCGCTAATGCTGTCCTTTCGCATGCTGTGGCTGGCAGCTTTTTGGTTTGGACTCTTCTGTCCCTGTCCTTTGTTCTGGTTTAGGCGTGCAGCTTTTTACATGACAAAACTGCCCTTCTATTTTGTACATTTACCCCGTTTGTCTTCTTTTCCCTCCCTCAAAATCATTTAG